GGCATTTTTCCTTTGCCAACCAGAAGTCCGGTTCCCCCACCATAGAGTCTCTTCCTACTGTGGCATTTTTCCTTTGCCAACCAGAAGTCCGGTTCCCGCACCATAGAGTCTCCTCCTAGCGCAGACTCCTTTTTCCTTTGCCAACCAGAAGTCCATTCCCCCACCATAGAGTCTCTTCCTACTGTGGCATTTTTCCTTTGCCAACCAGAAGTCCGGTTCCCGCACCATAGAGTCTCCTCCTAGCACAGCATCCCTTTTCCTCTGCAAACCGGAAGTCCAGTTTGCCCACCATAGTGTCTCTTCCTAGTGTGGCGTCCTTTTTCCTCTCCCTGTCCTAATCGAAACCCCTATCAATTGTGGAGCCGACCAGTGACAGGGAGCCAAAGCAGAGGGATGAAAGAGCCACCTGCGGCTCCGGAGCCGCAGGTGGCCGACCCCTGTCCTATACTATTCCATCCTGTATCTACACCCTGCCAACCGTAGCTGTCCAGATGCTAGACATGTCTGTAGCGTATTTTTTATCCCCGGGCCCAACTATGTGAGCCAGGGGCCCATGAACTACAATTGTGATGTGGCAGCCGCAGGGCCAGTTCCCACCACGGGGCAGGCAGGGACCGAATTTGACATGGCTGCACCAGAAGAACCCGGTTCCAAGAGAAAAGGAAGCAGCTCCTGTGATCATTTTAACCTAGAAGCTGGCCCTTGAGAGAGCAGGATCCTTAGGCTGAAATATACCATAAACGGAGTCATTAACATTTATGCATGTAGACAGGCATCCTCGACTTGCCGACCCCTGCTTTGGAGTCTTGTGAACGATTTGTGCCCTGGGCAGGGATCTCCTGATCTGCCCCACTCGCCCATGATGTTCCTGAACCCTCGTGGTCATCCATCTCAGCCCTTTGTCTCCCTCTTGGGCAAGTCTCGTTCCAAAGGAGTCCTGCTGCGGCGGCGGCTTTCTTTCCCTCTTTCAGCTTCTCTGCCGCTTGGAGGGTGCCCAGCCTGAACTGGGCAGTGACTCTAGCCCACCCCACCCTCCCCCGGCTGTCTGAGCATTTCTCCTTGGGTCCTCAACTCTGTCTGGAGTCCGATGTGTGGCTTTTCCAGAGTCCCTGACCATTTTTTCCCTTAATATTGCCTCTGAGATAGGCTATTGCGGTCAGCCTGAGCCTCTTCTGGTGACTGGGCCTGAGCAGGTGGGTTTCGCGATGTCGGGCTTGCTCAGGGGTCCTATGACCTGCCAAAACCATTAATCCGTCCCCGCGAGGGACCACGATGCTGCTCCACCCACATCGCCCCGCCTATCCACTGCCCCCTCAACCTTCTGGAGGCCAAAAACAGGATGCATGGAGGCCTCAGGAGGCCAAAAATGGGCCTGTTTTTGGCCTCCCCAGCCTCCAGAGTAGTGGTGGGTTCTGGCCGGTACAGCCGTATGGGTAGCAGCTGACAGTATACTGGTACGGTGGCTCGTTTGGCCCGCCCGGTCGCCTGCGTTCGATACCTATTTGTAAAGCAAATGGCCAATTGCGCACACGCGCACAGCGCAAAGTCTGGCAAGCAGCTAGGTGTCGCAGGGGTGGTGGAGTGTGCATGCGTGCGCAGCGCGTCTGCACAAAAGGACATAAGGCCCTGTGAGCACTGTACCGGTAGCAACGGGGAGAGGAATCCACCACTGCTCCAGAGGGGGGGGAGAGGAATCCACCACTGCTCCAGAGGGGNGTCTTTGAAGGCTTATGCGCTTCCAGGCAGGCGCATGGCACATACAGTGCCTGCGCGAGTCTCCACGAGCAGCTGGAGCATCGCGCAGGTGCTAAGACGCATGTGTGAACTGCGCGCGTGCATGAGTACGCCGCTGGAACTGGTTGGAACGGGATTAGCAACCCACCCCTGGTACAATATGAATAAAAAGGGATTTGTAATAAGAAATAAGCCTAAACATTTCCACCAGCACTCTGAAATAAGTCTCAAGAATATATATCTTTTTAATGGGACATCTAAATTTCTGAATTTCAAAGACTGACACTGATTTGGGCTGTGAAAAATACATTGGCATGGCGGGATTAGTGATCCTTTGGATCCAGCAGTACATATAGAGAGGCTCAGATTTTTTAAATTTAATTCTATATGTTTGTAAACTGCTTCCCTGGGTACAATGAATTCCTCTCACTAGTTTGTTTACATATGCATTATATAAACATTCTTTAGATTTCAACTGCTTTCCTTAGAATAAGAATATTAAACCCATTAGAGGTGAGAATACCTATTTAGAAATCAGTCAAATCGTGAGAATTCTTTTTGTTTTCCCTTTGAACCACAAGCTTTATATACTTAAAAGAAAACAAACCTGGCATTATTATTTCCAGTCTTAAATGAACTGCAGAATTCACTGCAGTAGGCTATTCCTTCAAACTTTGCAAATAATGATCCTGCTGCACTGTCGAACGTTAAATCTGCATTGTTGGTGTTCTAACCTATAAAAAGACATGTGTTCTCATTGTAGTGAAGACCGGTTCCTCTAGATGTGACTGCTTGAAAGGGAATGTTATATTTGTGGATTACTAAAATGAGGATAGCTGTTCTTATTTCTCTTAAAAGATCCCTAAAGCTGAGTCAAGGAATTAACTTGACAAATAGAAAAAAAGATAAGATTCGTTTAATTTTATTTTTGACAAGAGAAACAGCGAGAATAATTTAGAATACCGTACTTCTTGTCTAAATGTATTTCTTATGTGGGACCAGAGGAGTCTTCAGAATCATTTTAGAACTTCCAAATTCAAGTTTTCATGGTATTGGGGTAGGGGTGGGGAAGAGAGTTGGGGAAATGACAGAGACACTTCCAAAGTTACAGCAAACTCAACATATCACAATACGATATATTCTATAGCCTCTGGATAGCAGCTTTAGTGTTTTTTTTCTCCTGTATTCTGAGTTTGCTTTGATTTTATAATGATTTTGGGGGTGTAAATAGAGAGCAATATTTACTGACTGCAGATTTTAATAGTGTACCTGTATATTCAGGGCAGTGGTGGGTTTCAAAAATTGTTCGAACCTACTCTGTGGGTGTGGCCTCCTTTGTGGGAGTGGCTTGATGCCCATGCCACCGGATGGGAGTGGCTTGCCGCCCATGTGACCGGATATGAAGATGCTGACGACACTTGTCAGAACCACCTTAAATTACCTCACACACAGCACTGNTTCTTTAAGTGAGGCTGGTCGTGCTAGTTTATAATTTGTGTTCCAAATTCTTTCCCGATCCACTAGATCTATGTTGTAACCAAAGTTTTTGGCCCATAAAGCTTTTGGCATATAAATTTAACCAATCAATCAATGCAAATATCTCAGTACAAAATAAGGGATTCTTCTCAGATTCCATAAAATAATTTACTGCATTAACTTATTAAAAATGAAATGTTTAGAGAGCAGAGATTGACAGAGCTGTTTGCAGAGCATGGTGATAAAATCAACTAGGTAAAAGATAAAAGTAAAAGGCACATATCTGCTAGTCATTCCCAACTCTAGGAGGCTTTGCTCATCTCCATTTCAAAGCCGAAGAGCCAGCCCTGTCCAAAGACGTCTCCGTGGTCATGTGGCCTGCACAACTAAATGCCAAAGTCGCAGGGAACACAGTTACCTTCCCACCAAAGATGGTCCCTATTTCTCTACTTGCATTTTTTACCTGCTTTAAAACTGCTAGGTTGGCAAAAGCTGGGACAAGTCATGGGAGCTCACTCCGTTATGCAGCACTAGGGATTCAAACCGCTGAACTGCTGACTTCTCTGATCGAGAAGCTCAGCGTCTTAGCCATTGAGCCACTGCGTCCCTTTAAAAAAAAACAACCAACTGCACTGCAAATATTTCTATCCTATCTTTCTGACTGTAGATTGAGAAGAAGGATTGCTTTGAACCTTGGATTTATTTTTATAATTAAGCAGCTCTGTCCTTGCATACTTGCCTGCTTAACAATGTAATAAAATAAATTTAGAAAAATGCATATGTTTCGCTCTCACTGGGTCAACTGCTCTTTTATCCTGTAGCATATGCAAATATTTTGGTGGTTTCCTCTAGAGCCTATGCATATAGTTTCCCTGTCCCAGTTAGCATTAGCTGTTGTGCCTCTGATTTCTTTGTATTAGTCTATGCCAAGGGAAAATAGGGTGGAAAATGATTTGGTTACTTCTCTGTTTATCCGTTCTCCCAGGTAATCTATGTTCGTTCACCACAAATGATGCCCAATAACTTTGAATTATCCCAAAACATCTTTTTTTTACATGCATTGTTTGTTCCAGGTGTGCAGTTGATCAAATTGGAGGAGTCTGAAGGGGCTGTGAGAAGACCTGGAGAGTCCCTTCATCTCTCCTGCCAAGCCTCTGGATTCACCTTCAGCAGCTATAACATGGTCTGGGCGAGACAGGTTCCTGGGAAAGGACTGGAATGGTTGGCCTTAATAGGTACAGGCTCATCTCCTGCCACTTACTATTCAGATAAAGTCAAGGGACGCTTCATCATCTCCAGGGATGATTCCAGTAGTCTGTTATATCTGCAAATGAACAATCTCAAAGCAGAAGACACAGCACTTTATTACTGTGCAAGAGACACAGTGAGAGGAAGTGAATCTGAAGCCAAGCAAAAACCTGTTTGTCTTCGAGGAAACTCTGTGCTCTGCAACCTTTGTTTGATCACCAAAGGATAGCATTCAGAAAATGGTGACAGGCTAATAATTTATCCCATTCATTCAAGATGGTGAGCCTTAGAGCAAGCATTAGAACTATTATTTGAAGGAGAATTGGTAGGGACACTCAAAGACACCTGAATACCACACAATGAATGGAAACTGACCAAGGTGAAATTCGACCTCGAAATAAAGAGAACTTTTCTCACAGTGAGAAGAATCAAGCAATGGAACTGAAGTTCCCTTTGGTAGTTGTGGGAGCTTCATCACTGGAGGCTTTCAGGAAAAGATTGGTCTGCCGTTTGTTGAAAATGGTATAGGCTCTCCTGTTTCAGTGGGGGGTTGGACTAAATGACCTACAAGATCCCTTCCAACTCTGTTAATCTAATCTAATCTAATCTAATCTAATCTGATCCCCTAATCTGTATGTATCTTCCCAGGGAAAAGTAGACCTATACATTGATTTACAATGTCAAATAAGGCGAATCTCTTTTCCACAAATATATTCTCCAATAAAACTAAAATTGTCAGCTCAGCCATATTTACAAGGTGAAGTCATAAAATGTACCAGGAGATGAACATAGGGACAGCTCAGTGCAGTTTATTTTATTTTTATTGTATTATATTATTGTATTATTTTATTTTAATGTTTATTTATTTTTTAATTTAATCCTTCTTATTTGTTTTCCATTATTCAGTTCAGGCACAACAAAATTATGTAGCATTT